TGAAATCAGTTTATCCAGAAGATTTGAAAGATTTCTACGGCCAGTCCTTGTTTTTCAAGAAATGGTCAGTGGTAAGCAGAGGAAAGGGACCAAAGGGAGGGAAATGGGGAGGGCAAGGGGAGATACCAGGAATGAAACTGAGCAAATAAATTATGTTATGTGCATGTACCAATGTGTCACTGTGAATCCCACTATTATGTATAATTATAATGCATCAATTAAAAATTAAGAAAAAATGATCAGTACTTTTTTAAATCTTTTTAGTCATTCCAGCAAGAATTTATTATGCCAGTGACCACATTGTTAAATAAAAATTCTAGGCTTAATTATTACTAATTTTATTTTTTTTAACCTAAAGAATCACTAAAAACCTTCAGCATATGGTTTCTATTCTAAGATCAGTTATTTGGTTGTGTAAATCTGCTTCCTCTTGGCCTGACCTCTAGGGAGCTGTTCCTTATGCAGGCTCAGGAGAAGAGTTAATTGAATCTCTAACCTTGCTCTCCAGGCTTTCATTCCCTACAAAACTTTCTTCGGTTGAGTGACTAGTACATTTTACATTGTTCTGGTAAAATATTAACAGAATCAGCTTCTGAGAGAGCTCAGGACTTAAGCTCAAAACTGTGTTCAAATCCTGTCTTCCACTAACCAAATATGTACCCTAGAGTGATTTAATTTCTCAGGACCTGCTTCTTCATCTTTAAGGTGGGATAATTATGACCTAAATCAAGAGGTTGCTAAAGATGAGGTCGGGTGGCCCATTTTCTGCAACTGGGCACACAGTAAGCATGCAAATATTTGTAGATATCTTTCACCAATAATACCCACATAGTGTTTAACATGCACCAGGCTCCATGCTAAGTGCTGGGCCTGCAATCCTGAGAAAAACAGAAACAATGCCATCCCTCAGAAGCCTATATTCTAGTAGAGAATGCTATAGAATAAAAGCATACTGATAAAAAGAATTACAAATAATGATGTGTTACTGTGGAAACAAAAAACAAAAGCTGAAATCAAGATTACAAAGAATAAGGAGAGGGTCAAGAAAAGCTTCTAGGCTTTTGTATACCTTTTTTTTTTTTTTTTTTTTGTACCAGGGATTACTTAACCACTGAGCCACATCCCCAGCCCCTTTTTATTTTTATTTTGAGATAGAGTCTTGCTAAATTGCTAAATTGCTTAGGGCCTTGCTTAGTTGCTGAGGCTGGTATTGAACTTGCAATCCTCCTGCCTAAGCCTTGGGAGCCAATGGGATTACAAGTTTGTGCCACTGTGCTTGGCAAGAAGTGTCATTTAAACTCATGACTGAAGGATGACAAGGACCTGGTCATGCAAGTAGCTGGTATTATTTCTAGGTGTGTCTGGGAGGGTGTTTCCAGAAGAAATCAGCTTTTGAATTGGTGAACTGTGTAAGCAAATGAATGTCCCAACGTGGGTGACCACCATCCAATCCACTGAGGGCCTGAATAGAACAAACGGCCACAGGAAGGGTGAATTCCCTCTCTCACTTGAGCTGGGACATCCATTCTCTCCTGTCCTTGGACAGCGAGGTGCTCCTGGTTCTCAGACTTGCAAAGCCAGACCAGGACTTACCACCACCCCTCTCCAGCCTATTCTCAGATCATTAGACTCAAAGGGAATCAGCTTTCCTGGTTCTCCAAATTCACAGAACAGATTGTAGGACTTCTCAGCCTCCCAAACCACAAGAGCCAATTCCTATAATAAATCTCCTCATATCCATACACATACACACACATACACACATTTTATATGTATCTGAAGTTCCTCAACTTACTTATTGGGTTACATCCCAATAAACCCATCATAAAATATTGTAAGTTGAAGATGCATTTAATAGAATTGGTAAGACAGAAAGGTCTTACCATCAAACACTTCCAGAGAAGAAAAAAGAGACACATTTATATTTTCATTTTTTAAATAAGCTGAACACTCGTGTCTTGCCATAAATGTTTATTACTATGTGAAGTCTACACTGGGAGGGCAGGAATAGAAGGGTGCCAACTCAGTGTCTGTTGCTGCAGCCCAGATAAGGAATGAGGTGTGGATTAAAGAGATGATAGCAAAACTGGAAAGAAATGGACATATCTGAGAAATATTTTGGGAAATACAATGAAAAGGACTAGCTGATGAATTTGGTGGGGTAGATGAAGGAACAGTGAGGTGAATTGTGATACCACTTCCTATGTAAGGAAAACAAGACTTTGTTTGTTTGGTTGGGTCGGGGTTTTTTTCCGGGGTAGAGGAGGTGTTTGTTTTGGGCAACGATGGGGACTCCAACCCAGGGTCCCACATATAGTAAGCAAGTGCTGGACCACTAAGCTACATCTCCAGTCTAGAAAACAAGACTTTTAAGAAAAAGCTAAAGCTTCATCCTGAATAGGAGGGTAAAGTTTCAGGACATCAAGTGGAGGTATTAAGAGACAAATATCTGAGTTTGGAGCTCAGAGGAGATGTCTGAACAAGAGGTATGAATTTAGGGATCATTAATATTAAAACATTAAAAGGCACAAGAACAGATGAGTCACCTAAGAAAAGAAGGTAGAGGGGCTGGGTTTGTGGCTCATTGGTAGAGCACTTGCCTGGTATGTGTGAGGCACAGGGTTTGACCCTCTGCACAACATAAAAATAAATAAATAAATAAAGTAATATTGTGTCCATCTACAACATACAGAGAGAGAGAGAGAGAGAGAGAGAGAGAGAGAGAGAGTTATATAGGAGTTCCCATGGATGAAGGTTGAATAGAGAAGAGAGAGTCAGCAAAGTAACATGTAAGTTGAAGATGCATTTAATAGAAATAGTAAAATAGAGGAAGGAGAGGAAGATGGCTACCATGTTCCCCTCATCCTTCAACCAAAGCTAAAATATCACAAGTTTCTCTCACCATTCCTTAAACATTGAGGATTTTATTCCCTCATTGTCCTTTGGTGCCACTGCAGAAAAGATAGTGTCTTGTTTTATGGGGAAGAGAGTGAGTCTTCAGTTTATTTCATTTTTATATTTGTTTAGTTTTCTCTGAAAAGTTATAAAATAAAATTAAAACAAATTATGTTTATGATAGGTTATCTGACCTCCATGGGCACAGAAATTCTAAAAACTTTTAAGAAAACCATTCTTCCAAAGTTAAATGTATTCATTGGGTCTATAATTTTTAATTTTTCACATCTTGCAAAATAGCTTGTGATTTTATTTTTTCATTGGGTCTATAATTTTTAAAAATCAGAAACATTGTTTCCCACATATTTTTAAATGACACATAAGATAATAAAGAATAACACATGTCCAATATTTACCCACTTCATGAAGGAAGACTAAGAAAAAAATCTATACAAGGAGAATTCATGTACCACTTTCTCAAGCTTAGACCCACTGATATTACTGTCATTAGAGAGGCCAATCTTATCATGCATGTGAATTCCATTCTACAAAAGCAAAAATGTTCTTTGGAAACCATTGATTGTTTCAGAGGATTATCACCTGCAAAACTAGAAGAGGATAAAATACTAACAAGGGTAAATAAATAACCAATGTTTATTTGTATCATCAGTAAGCATTAAATACTGTATGTAAACTGAGACAAAATCAATCTCATGGGTTAATCCATAGTGTCATTCAAGAAGTCTATTCAACTAAGGTAAAAAAATTCTTCTAGCAAACAAATTATATTATAAAAATCAGCTACTTGGGACTGGGGTTGTGGCTCAGTGGTAGAGTGCTTGCCTAGCATGTGTGACATACTGGGTTCAATTCTCAGCACCACATACAAATAAAATAAAATAAAAATTCATCAACAACTAATAAAAATTTTTAAAAATTTAAAAATTCAGCTACTTTTAAATTTAAAAAAATTTAAAAACTAAAAGTTAAAAAATTAATTTTTTTTAATTTGTAAAATTAAAAAAAAAATCCTGTCACATACAGCTTTCTTCCACATAATCTTATGCCCATATAGCACTTATCTGTTTGTATTAGAAATAATTTCTATGTCTCTGCTTACCTTGATAGAGCATGAGCTCTCAAAGTCATATCCTTACTCTAGAGATAGGCCAGAACCTTCAAAGACCTCAAAGTAAAGATCCATGATTCACCTCCATTAGAATCACTTGGAGGATGTTTCCAAATGCAGATTCCTGGGTCTGATTTACCCAACCTTTGGAATTAATGTAGTATTTGTGTGGATTTCTAATAGCTTTTATAAGGTCTTCAGAATGTACCAAGGAGATAATAAATCCAAAAGATGTAACCTAAGAGCTATGCACTGATAGTTCCACTTATTTACTCACACAATTGTTCAGAATCTTCTGCCATGAAATTTGTTAAATGGAGGAATAAAGGAGAAAGCATCACTCTGAGAAGCTTTCATCTTATAACTGAAACCACTTGCTACTATTATATTATAGCAGTACTTATTTTCCCTGAATCCAAGCAAACAATTTGGGGATTTTAAAGTTAGAGACCTTAGAGATTATACCTGACATTAAATATGTTAAGAAAAAAATATACCAAGGTATGTTAAAAACATAATAGGCTGAACAATCACAGCGCTAGTCCTGTCATTTATAAGGGCAATATCAAAAACTCTAAGATTATTAAATCTCAAACCTTTTTTTTCTTTTTGCTTTTTTTCCCACATTTTTATTGGTACATTTTAATTGAACATAATGGTAGAATTTGTTGTTACCTATTCATACATACACAAAATATAACAATATAATTTGGTCATTGTCATTTCCTAGTATTTCCCCTTTCCCCCTTCTCCTCCCTCACCCTGGTCCCCTTCCTCTGATCTTCATCAAATTTTCATGAGATTCATCCCCCATCCTTCTTTTCTTTTTTCCTCTCTACCTTCCACATGAGAGAAAACATACAATCCTTGACCTTTTGAAAAACTCCAAATCTTTTCAATGACAAAAATATTCATCCTTTGTTTCATAAAAAGGTTTTTAAGGAAGCATATTTTAAATATAAGAAATATTATAAAATTACATATAACAAATAATTTATTTTTTGATCAACGCACAACTAAATTTCACATCTATAAGTAGAAATATAATAAACAATATATCCTAGAACAGTATCAAAATAAAATTCACAATTGATTAGTAGATCCCCAAAATCCAATCTCAAAAACATTAAGTACATGTTATGATTTTTACAAATGAGAAAAACCTTTTAAAAAAATAGAATATTTTACCTATATTTTTGTATGGCACAAATGATTCAAAATATTAAATGTTAAATCAAACCAACAAATTTCTTCTTTTTTGTTACTGCTTCAAAAATATTTATAGGTATACTTAAGTCTTATAGAGACTTACTATCTCTGATTGAAATAAGAATGTCATATTTACCTTCCACCCTCCTAGCAGATAATAACCAGGAATCATTTCTTGAAACTAAGTTTTCACTTAATAATACAGGCTATACCACTTTATATAGTTCACAAATTAAGAAACATTTTATAATCATGATATATGTAAGGACTTGTAACTACTTTGTTATCTCCTTTAATCTTTTTCAAGAAAATAATTGTGTATTTTAAACAGGGCACTAGTACTTGGGACTGTAAGTCGAATATTATCACCTCTCTCTTTACTCACTAATAGCTTTGGTAAAACACTTAACCTGCCTTCTAACCTAGTACCTCCACCAGAGTAATAGCAATACTCTAATCTATTTGGTATCTATTTTTAGATGCATCAGAGAGTGAAAAAGCCATTATATGATCAATCTCTTACATCTTTGGTGGATAACTATGCTCTATTTAGAAGGGCCATTATGTTGAAAACTCCATTTTGCAGATGAAATTCATTTAGCAAATATGCTAATTCTAGATAGGCAATGATAACCACAGGAGACCAGGAAGATGAGCAATAACATGGGCTCATGAAGTGTACTTTCCTTGAAAAAATGTCTATTTGCTCAAATTAGAGAGGGAACATTGTAAATTGTACATCATTTGGGAAGACTTTTATCTCTTTTTCATTTTCAGTCACATTATAATATTGGATACAGCAGCTCCAGAAGCTAACAGATTATTGCTTTTATAATTGAATTCGTAAAGTTTCACGTCATGAAATTATATAATTACGTTCTGAAACATCACAGAAGCTCAAAATATATCTATTTGTAATCATCATAATGTGTACATCTGATCAGGACCCAGCTATGTTCAAGGCCCGGTTCAATCATCATCCATATTTTCTGCCACAATCAAAGAAAACACATTGTGTGCTCTTAGTGGCCACTAAGAGAAGACGCTGTCTTGCAAAGAGAGGAAATCATGAACAAATAAAATAACCATCCTTCATTGGGAAAAAAAAAAACTGCAGAGAAAATGAGAGTCCTGAAAATGTCTAGTGGCACTAATTAAATGAATGTTTCAAAACAATGATTTGCCCCATAGTAGCACCAGCAGCAGAGTAGCCCACAATTATGTGACTGCACTAAAAATAAAGTCTACTCCTTTTTCTGCACAGTGAGTTGCAAAAAGGCACAAAGTTCACAAATAGATGTATTTTCAGGTATGGGAACAAAATGACATAAAAGATGACCTTGTTATCAATAGATGTTAGAGTTAAGAACATTTCAAGGAAAAACCCATTAGTATACAAAGCACTTGAGCCCAGCTGAAGTCCTCAAAAAGAACAATATCCCTTTGAACAGGGACAAGAATAATCAAGCTGTACATGGATGTACCTTACATCAAAGTTCTAGAAAGATCATTGCTAAGAATACATCCCATAAACCACAGCATCAAGTTTCAGTCTTCATGCATGCCCAGAAAAGGAGAAACTGGCATCCATCAATAATAAACAATAAATCAGTGGAGCATGGTGCCATGTGCCTGTAAGTCTCAGCTATTCAGAGACAGTAGGATTGCTTGGAAACCACAAGTACAAGATCAGCTTGCACAATGCAGCAAGACCTGTCTCAAAAAAATATATATATCTTTTTGAAAAATAATGATAAAACAATGAATCATTTCAAATCTAACATACAGTTCCAAGAAATTTGTTGGAGGGGGTGGGGGTTTCCTGGGGATTGAACCCAGGGCCTTGTGCATGTGAGACAAGCACTCTTTACCAACTGAGCTATATTCTCAGCCCAAAAAATTATATTTTTGTTGTTTAAAATGTTTCTATGGGTCTCCTAAATCATATAACAACTTTCCTATTCCTAAAAATATCAGCTTTTTTTGTATAAGATAAGTGGTATTAAGACATAATAGTGCCAGGCGCAGTGGCACATGTCTATAATCCCAGCAGCTTGGGAGGCTGAGGCAAGAGGATTTCGAGTTCAAAGCCAGCCTCAGCAAAAGCAAGGCACAAAGCAACTCAGTGAGACCCTGTCTCTAAATAAAATACAAAACAGGGCTGGGGATATGGCTCAGTGGTCAAGTGCCCCTGAGTTCAATCCCTGTTATTAAAAAAAAAAAGACAATAATAGGTACTTTGGGAACCTCCAAAAGAAACCCATTAAATGAGTACTGACAGATTGCAGACTGAGCTGGATCCTATCTTAAAGGCAAGAACAATAAAACAATCCATATTCTTTAAGGTACTTTGGTTACATACTAATGGCTAAAACAGCTCTGTGCCCGTTTCAGATGAATATTAGCTTCACAGCATTAACATCACATGACAGGGGAGTAGATGGCAGCAAAAGAAACCTTTTACCAGAGGACAACAGAGTTATCTAAGCAAAAACTCAGCATGAAAAGAGCACTACTCCTGATTTCCTAGAATGCCTCCCTCACAAGGGATTATTTCTGATTCCTGGGACAGTGCACAGCAGTTCTCATTGAACACTTAGAAGCACACTTGGTCATACCATGCTCTGCCTTATTAAATGATCTATGTTGAAACCACTCATTTTCATTTCCTTTACATCAATAAATGCCAAAAAAGAGTGATAAGACTGTCATTTACCCTCAATTTCCTCAATAATGTAAGGGTTAGAGGGAGTGTGTAAGAACTCCAAAATAATAGGCTAATACCTTCCGTAGTTCCCCTTTCTCCTTTATTTCTACTAGGAGGAAACCTATTTCAGATAATATCTCCTCTAAAGTTTAGGAGGCTGAAAAGGATTGCTGCTTAACCCCTCCCAAAAAAATATTCTCAAACATAGTGATTTTCTGAGTAAATACTTTTCAAAAGGAAAGTGCTACATAGAATATAAAACCTTCCCTGGAGTGCTCATAAAGAGTAACATAAAAGTAGTTATAAGTGGAAAAAAGAAATAATATTCTAAGAACTGCAAAAAAAAATCAAATACAAGTGATTCTACCCTCCCTGCCTCTTACACCCATGCAAATGTATACACACAACAGACTCAACTACAAGTTTTAAGAGCAACTACAAAAAAGCAAAAAAGAAAATGAATCTTTGTTTCACAAAGAGAGAAAGTATGTCATAGAAAATAGCAGACCAAAGAAATCTTCCTTCACTTACTCAGTGAGCCAAAAACAATGCTTCTAGACCTATGGTAGGCATAATTCACATTTCATTTTCAGAAAACATTCTATTCAAACTAGCATAACAGAATGAAGATGTTCTGAGGTAATTATACTCCTATCCTAATTATCATTACATTAAGATTTTGCAAAACAAAATCTACAAAGCTGTTGCAATCAAGTTCTTAATTCGGAAAACTAAACATGATATTAATGGGGAGAAAAAAAAGTTTATGTAAAAATACTCCTTAAATCTTTCTTTTAAAAACTTCCAAATGAATATTAAAATCAGTCATATCAAGTAACTTATACAAACTATAAAAACAATTGCAATAAAGAGTATTGAGAAATCAAAATTACCAATTGTATTTCAGACTTGATTCCATACACATAAAACTAAACCAGAGTTCATGAAGATGTCTAAAAGGGAAAAATAATACAAGGGGGACAAATGAATGTCAGTAGAGGGGGCAGAGAGAGAAGAGGGGAGGGGAGGGGAGGGGAGGGGGGATAGTAGAAGATAGGAAAGGCAGCAGAACACAACAGACACTAGTATGGCAATATGTAAATCAATGGATGTGTAACTGATGTGATTCTGCAATCTGTATATGGGGTAAAAATGGGAGCTCATAACCCACTTGAATCAAAGTGTGAAATATGATATATCAAGAACTATGTAATGTTTTGAACAGCCAACAATAAAAAATTAAAAAAAAAAGAATTCTTATACAGATTTTTTTTTTAAGAACAATAGTTCATTTCTTCAGAGATAGCTCATCCACATCAAAATCCTCCTTGTTTAGCATCACCAATGGCTCCCCAAACATCAAAGACAAATTCATCTGGGAATGCAAAGTCTCCAAGAGTTTCATCAAGTGCCGTGGCAAATTCATCTGGATTATTTTTGTCCTTTCCAGCTTCAAACATTGTGGTGGCTGTCAAAGATAATTAAGGATAAATGAGATAGCATCATAGGACTGAGAAAAATTATCCCAGGAAGTGCTTTCCAAATGTAGCATGCATACATATCATATATTCCTAGGCAAATTAAAACATGAGGATACCCATTTTCACTTCTCAAGGTAGCAAAGACATTTTTTCAACAATCTGTCTACTACACCAGGTTGGCAGCTGTCACCCACCGACCTCTCTCCTACCTTGAAGCTAATTGTTTGGAACCTCCAGCATTCCTATGTGCAGAACAAGATATTCTGAAAGAAAACCTTGTAGTACACCCCTTCCCAGCCTCCCAAGAGTCATTAACTATCTAAGATGTAACAAAAAGAATACAGCATCACATGTGTGGTACTCCTGCCAAAGAAGTGCAGCCTGAATGTAATTATGGGGAAAAAAGATTGGACAAAACAAGATGGAGAAAGTTATCCTACAAAATAACTTGCTTTTACCCTCCAAAGCATCAAGGTCATGACAATCAAATAAATAAGGGATAACTATTCAAGTTGACTCAGCATGGTATGTAAATGCAACATATTATTTTTTAACACATTCTTTTGCTATCATACCTATAAAGAACTTGATGAAACATGAATAGGAATAAATATTGGATGGCAATAATGTCTCATCATTATTTTCATTATTTGGTTGATTATATTCTGGTTCAATAGGGGAACACCTTTGTTATAGGAAATACACAAAACTTATTGGGGGACAATGGGATATCAGTAAGGTAACTTATTCTCAAATGGTTCAAGACAAAAAAGTCTTTGCACTTCACATGTAACTCTTCGTAAGTTTGGGATAGTTTCAATTAAAGGGGAAAAAAACAGTAATAAAGAAGAGGAATTAAATCTTTTCTCTTAATTGTGATCACCCTCCTTCACCTCTCAACCATGACCCAAAGTGCTCTTGATTGATCATTAACCAGAAGTACTTCAAAAAGGAGGGAGGTCCTCGGCTGTAGTGAACTGCTCCAGCCACAGATCCTGCCAAGTTACTCAGACTCTTCTGAAGCTCCCAAGTTTATTAAAACTTTTCCTATTTTTAAAGCATATGGTAAGATTAGGCAGGAGGTATTAAAACCAATATTCCAAAATACTGGTTTGACTTTATAAATTTGAATATTGAAAAACAATTTGGAAACAAGTGACAAAATCCTCAAAAATGTCATATCCATTAATCTACATAACATTTCCACCCTTGGGAATCTATACTTTAAAAATAAAATCTTGGGTTGGATTTGGAGCTCAGAGGAAGTATGTATGCAGCATACAGAAAGCCCTGAGTCCAACCCCCAGTAACAAAAAAAATAAAATAAAATAAGAAAAATCTTAAAAATAGAAAATAATTTAGCATAAAGGTATAATTAATTATCAAATAAATCTAAAATGTAGAAGTAATAAGTAATCTCTACTTCAATGAAATGTATGGGTGAAATATTTGATGAAATATTTTGAAATAATTTTAATGTTTATGAACAATTTGTAATACCTTGGGGAAATATTCTCTCTTAGTATTTACTGAAAAAAGAAGTTATATACATTTTACATTATAATCACAACTACATTTTTACAAAAATCTATACATGGAATAGATAAGTAGAAATAATAAACTAGGGGCTGGGAATGTGGCTCAGTGGTACAACATGTGCCTAGCACATGTGAGGCCCTGGGTTGGATCCTCAGCACCACATAAAATAAATAAAATAAAGGTATTGTGTCCAACTATAACTAAAATAAATAAGTAAATAAATATTTTTAAAAATAAATAATAAACTAATTATAGTAAAACAAAAATGTGAGGATGGGGGATATAGCTCATTGGTAAAGTGCTTGCCTTGCATGCACAAGGCCCTGGGTTCAATCCCCAGCACCATCAAAACAAAAAACAAAAAAACAATTGTGTGTGTATGCATTATTAGAGGTGGAGCCCAGAACCTTGTGCAGCAAGGCAAGTACTCTACCACTGAACTACACTCCAAGCCTTTTAGTAAAAGAAAATTCTCCACTGGTACTGAGGATCAAACCCATAGCATCACACACACTGGACCAACACTCTACCACTGAGCTTTATCCCCTTTAGTAAAATATTAATGGCGGAATCTAGATGACAAATGGAGAAGAATTCACTAAAACATCTTTCAACTATGCTTTATGTTTTAAAACTACAATAGTAGAATATTGGGAGAAACCTCTATGCAGACAATGAATAAAAACTTTTTAAAACATAGTACAGAAATTCAAATAGGAGAGGAAAAAAATTTCTCATGAGTACTAAGTAGCTGTACTTGGGAAATTATTTTCTAAACCATTAAGGAATCCCTAATATCTATAACCGGTGCTTTATCTCTTTCAACAGGAAGTCTTAGTACTATGTTCAAGAAAAGATAAAAGCTCCCTCAAAAAAGAAACCAAATGCCCAGAAAAGTGTACTCCATCCATATTCCCCACAATCCTGGAGGTTCCATCTGCGTCTCTCTCCTCCTTAGATGTCCTGCCTTGGAGAACTGATCTGCAATCCCTGTGTAAACAAGACCTTGCTGCAGAGAAGCCCCAGACCTTTGCTTCCACCCACAACTTCTCCTGAGTCCCACCCTCCCATGTCTGAATAAGTGGTGAGCAATCCTTCCTACGTGTGCCATTAGCATCTCAAGCAGCAGATCCAGAAACCAAACATCATCTACCCCTTCAGAAACGGCTACCCTTTCTCCTGTTTCCACCATTGTCCTCAGTATGGTAAGCTCTCTCTTGTTATCTTCCTCTTCTCCCAGTCCTTCAGCCTGTGAACCAATACTGCCTCTCCTTTGTTCTACCTTTGTAATTGCTCTATCTGATCCTTTCCATTTCATTCCCACTGCCATCATGCCATTTACTTCATCTCTAAGTCTTGTCATCAGCCCATTCCACATGGGCACATTAAACTCTTCTTCCTAAAGCACAGCTCTGATTCCATAGATAATAGAACAAAAGGACAAGGAAGCTCTGTTCCACCTCTTGTCTTTCTCATCCCCATATATAAAAATATTCCTTGTGTCACCAACTTCTTCAAAACTCTAAACCCTAGTTTGTCATTCTGATCTGAAGCACCTCTGGATCCCAAATGACCCTACTCCTCTACATTAATGCTATGCCCTCAAAAATATGATTACTCAAAATGCTATTTTTAATCCTTCTGTCTTTGCCTTGGATAATCTCCTAGTCACCAGCTCCACCATCAAAATCCTTTCCCTCCTTGAAGGCCCTCTCCTCGATGAAACTCTTTGTCCACAAATGGAAGTCATATCTGAATTCTCTAAACCCTTCTGCAGGCATTTTTCATACTAAAGGTGCAAACAATCTAACTACAATCTTGATAAAATACAGATTCTGCTTCAATAGTTCTGCAGTTATGCCTGAGATTTTTCCCTTTCAACAACTCCCAGGTGGTATTTATCCCCAAGCAATACTGAAGTAATAAGATCTTACAGTACAAATTCATAACAACAGAATTATAGAAACAGCCTACATGCTAGTTGTCAGCGGATGAACAGATAAAGAAAATTGGTGTATATATTCACAGTGGAATATTATTCATCCATAAAGAAGAATGAAATCATATCATACCATTTGCAGAAAAATAGATGAAACTGGAGATTATAATGTTAAGTGAAATAAACCAGACTCAGAAAGACAGTATTGCAGGTCTTCCCTCATATGTGGAATACAGGGTTGGGTGTGTTGACTGTGAAAGTAGAAAGGACACTGTTAGAAAAGAGGAAAGGAACTAGGGAAGGAAAAGGAAAGGGTAAGAGAAGGTACTGGATTAGTAGATATTATATGCATGTATGAATATGCCACAGTGAAACCCATTATTTTGTATAGTTGAAATGCATTAAAAATAACATTAATAAAAGATCTTATAGTGCATATTCAACATTGCTCAAGTCTTAAAATCTACACTGATCTTATTTTTATGTATTGTTTTCTATCCTACTAAGGAATAAAATTTCCAGTAGATCTTGATTAACTTACTCAGTTTTTCATGCCCACAGGAACTAGTTCAGTGTCTTACATGTAGCAAATACTGGTGGATGGGTAGAGACAAAGGAGGTTTTGTAATTAAACTTAAATATTGTGCATATTGGGGGTTGGGGTTGTGGCTCAATGGTAGAGTGTTCACCTAGCATGCATGAGGCACTGGGTAAAATCCTCAGAACCACATAAAAATAAAATAAAGATATTGCATCCACCTAAAAATTAAAAAATAAATATTTTTTAAAATACTGTGCAAGTTGGCACAGCTAGCATGCTTAGAGGAAGTGAAGCCCAAAACTCTGGACCCATAGCTAAGATGTGAAAGAAGAGCAGCCAAAACATAAATGTTAAGTATAACTGAAATAAGACTCAAGTTCGGAATTTTGCTTAATCTACCTTTTAACTATTTCTTATAGGTCCGACAAATAGCATTTACTGAGTCAATTGCCTAAAAACTTAAGAGTAAAATATATGGAAGAAGAAATCTAGTTGAAAAAGAAATAAAATGCACACAGACAAAAGACATAAGAAAATGTATAGACTATTCAGAAGCAGAAACAACAGTATAGATGATGATTTTAAGGGTTGGAATAATCCATGTAGGCATTCACTGATGGACTTGGAATCAATCAAAATCAATCAATCTATCTATCTATCTCCCTCCCTCCATTAATACACACACACACACACACCTGTAAAGAGGGAAAAACCCTTGGCCCATATAGTACATTGTTTTTTTATACCTCCAGGAACTCAGCAGTATTGTCTAGTGCACTGAGCTCAGGAATGTGCTGTGGACCTGGCCTGCTCTAACTTACAGAATTGCTGCTTTTGTTTCCTAATTATAAAATGAGAAAAAATACTGCTTCAAGATGTCCATACTACATCTTTGCGGCAAAATGTATAATCTCACTCATGCACTCATTCTGACATAGAAGAAAAATGGAGGAAAACCCCCACATCCAATGCAGTCCCACAGGTTCTCATACCTCCAGATATGCAGTCCTGTATTTTCTAACTCCACCCCTCTATTGTTATTGCTACTAATAATTATTAGTGATAATTGCTGAGAATGATAATAGTTGCATATGTTATTTATGATGTAACAGGAATTTTATAAACATTATTTAATTTGATGCCTTAGCAATCCTATGAGTTTGTTTTTATTGTGCCCCTTTTACAGATATGAAAATCAAAGCTTAATAATTTGCCCAAAGGTTAAAGCTTCAAAGTAATGAAATCAGAATTCATACTCCCTGTGAATTCTGTACTTTTGTGCCTCTCAACATTTTTCAGTATTTACTTTGAGAGAGGTACTATAGAAGTGGCAAAAAAATACTAATTAGGCAGCTTCATAATTGTGCTAGAAATACTGTAATTGAAAACTGCACTTGAACATGTTATAAATTTTTGCTAATATATAAACATAATGTTTAAACATCCTTATAGGAGAAATGAATGTTATAATTTTATCCTTTTTGATAAAAGATTATAGCTCTGCTTTAAGAGAAAATCCAGCTGGGCATGGTGGCACGCGCCTATAATGCCAGCAACTCAGGAGGCTGAGGCAGGAGAATTGTAAGTTTAAGGCCAGCCTCAGCAACTTAACAAGGCCCTAAGCAACTTAGTGATAGACCCTGTCTCAAAATTAAAAATTTTACAAAGGCTTGGGATGTGACTTAGTGATTAAGTGTCCCTGGGTTCAATCCTCAGTACCAAAAGACAGAGAGAGACACACACAGAGAGAGAGAGAGAGAGAGAGAGAGAGAGAGAGAGAGAGAGAGAGAGAGAGAGAGAAACTTCAGCACAATGAAAAAGTTTTCTTATATATTAATACACTGTATAGCTTATATAATACATTAACATAAGACAGTACTGAAATGATTTTTATCTGTTAACTGAAATAGATCTGCAATATATTGTAGTATAATACTTGAATACAGTTTGGCAAAAAAAAATTCCACTGAAAGTAGCTTTTATACCACACATAGCAGCTAAGTGCTGACCTCTCATGGCCATTCTGAAAATATCTTATATCATCACCACCCCTGAACTTTCATTTTACTATTAATGACAAATCTAGTTTGATGACATAGGCCAATATAGTTTCCATTAAGTTTTTAAATATTTAAACATAATTATTAGATATTTTTAAATTACTCCATGGCTTAAAATCTTAGTAGCAAAGTCCTAGAATTAAATCTTAGTTCTAACTTGTTAGTTAATTTAGGGCAAGTTGCAGAACTTCTCTGAATCTCAGCATTCAAACCTACAAAAAGGCAAACAGCAGTACTTAGATATTAGTCATCACTGTTAACTTGACCATAAAATCTGTAACTGTATCTCACTCCATGGAAGGTCTTCAACATTTATACTCCTTAAGACTTTTCATAAGTATCAACCATTTAAAACAATTCGCATGAGTCAAACACCAAAAACATAGCCAATATAGAATATATTCTTTTTTTCTTTTAAAAAAAACAAGCTTTATTGAGATATAATTCACACACCGTATAATTCAACCATTTAAAGGGTGAAATCTGAAGCTGCGGGTGTCACTCGGTGGTAGGGTACTTTCCTAGCATGGGCAAAGCCCTGGCTTCAACCCCCAATATCAAAAGAAAGGGAAGAAAGAGAAGGGGGAGGAAGAGAAGGGAAAGAAGAAGAGGAAGAGGGGGAAAAAACTTATATGATACAATTTCCCATTAAGTTAGGTCAATTTAGATAAAACCTCATAGACTCAAAATCTTCTAGGACCTTTTTTTGTTGTTGCAACTGGTTGGTTGAAAAATCACAGTTCACACCTTAACTTTACAACCAAATAAAGCACATTCATCTTCAGAGTTAACTTCCTACAAAAATTCATTTGAATTCATTTCTATTTTCAAATAATAAATATACCCTAATTACTTTTTCTTTTTAAGGACAGTGTTTTCAATCACTTTATTATTATGCTATTTTTTTAAAAATTTTTTTAACTTACATAATTCCAGAATAATGTGATATCAATGTAATTTGCATTAAGAAATAACATTTCTGAAAGTCAAGAAATACTAGGAATACATAGAAGTAAATATATTCATTAATCTGTTAAATAAGTCTCACATTTGTGATTTATATTTCATGCTAATAATATCTGAATAGTAGAAAGCCCTAATTTAAAACATTCTTCAAATAATTATCTTCCTAACACTTTTCCTTCCTAAGTGACTGATCACATTGCTAATCATTATAATGATAATGCGTCATGGTAACTGGAGGAATTTGCTACAGATGATTAATTATCCTTACAAAGAGATTGCTAATTTATTTACCAAAGAGATTACTAATTTATTTACAAGGAATTTGTGAGGGATGTTTAGTGCCCTGTGTGAACTTCTAGAATTGTGAGTTTTGTATTTTTCTTCAAGGATCAAGAAACTAGCATGAGTGTTTTTCAGTTACAGACTTCATTTATATATCCTACTATAGACATTTTTAAAGTTTGGACAGGCAAGAAAAAATAAGTATAAAATCTGTAAATAAAATGGACCTTGGTTTGGACTGAGTTCTTTGCACTAGGCCCAACAGATGAAACCAAAACGGGATCACTCATGCTGAAGCCCCATACCGACAAGCCAAAACTAAATTATTCATCTCATCTTCCAAGAAATCAGGGTGAGAAATAATAGCCAAATCCTAAAACAAGCCAGTTTTTGCTGGTATGACAAGGAAGTCCCCTGATATAGCCTTTATAAGGCAAGTAAACTTGGAATGACCATTTGTATTTGTTGTTTTGCTTTCTTCAGCCCTTTCCTGTCTATGAAGCCAGTCTCCTCTGTTCAGCTCATTAAAACATTCTTCCTTCTATTTTATAAAATAAGATGCTACCCAATTTTCAATTCTAGAACTGCAAATAAAAACCAATTAAGACTTGAAAGTACATTTGTTTTCATTTTGTCTTTTGACAATTCTATAAGAAAAATTTAAAATAAGTGGAAATTGAGTAGAGAAGGATGAATGAACTTCAAATTCTCTACCTGGTAGCAGATAAACAAAATAGGCAAGTCCTTGACTTTAGAAAATGTATTCAGCACCTGATTCAAATGCACACACACGCATCAGTGCATGCAGGCACAAACTGTACCCTGCAACCACAAGGAAAGAACCAGGCCTTTCTCAATCTTGACCCTTGTATTTCAGGATACTCTCAGCTCCAGAGATAGAGCATTTGGCCCAGAACTAACCATCGCCTGTTCTCAGGGACTGCCAACCCAAGACAATCTTTGGCATTTTGTTCCAATGACTTGCCCCTCCATCTTTCCCATTGTGCTTGATGCTAAGAGGATGGGGAGAGTGGAGCTGTTGCAGTCATTTTGGTTTCATGAGGGACAGCCTGATGCTTCCGGGGGATACCATAGGGACGCGGAATGAAGCCAGAATTGCCAGAAGAGAAAATATATTCTTTTTTTTTAATATTTATTTTTTTAGTTGTAGTTGGACACGATACCTTTATTTTCTTTATATGTGGTGCTGAGGATTGAACCCAGGGCCCCGCACGTGCTAGGCAAGCGCTCTATGGCTAAGCCACAACCCCAGCCCCAAAAAAACTTATTCTGATGACACCGTTATAACTCTGGATCTAGCCATTCTTGAAAGCTATCTCTGAACTTTTCAGTTGTAAGAATCTAAAACTTCTCCCTTTTGTTCCTCAAGACAGAGTTAGGGGTTTTATTTGGTTTGGTTTGGCTTCATTTTTGTTTGTAGTTATTTGCAACTGATAGGATTTTAACTGACAGATCATGACCTTGACATCTTAATAATGACCTAATAAACACACAGAAATCCAACTGCTCAAATGCTTATCAGTCATGTGTCAAGTGTCTGTCTTCTTTTTGTTTTTTAATGTTGCTTCACATATGCCAGTCAAGTGCTCTGCCATTGAGCCACATCCCCAACCCCTTCTCTTTATTTCTGATTAATTGTTCAGAGGGTTTAAGGAACCTCATTAAACTGTACACAACTTTAATATCATAATACACAATTGTATCAATGTACATATGGAAAAATCAGCTAATAAAACCATTTATTTGAATCACAAAATTATTTTCATAGATATTTTTATTCATAAAATAACAGGCGATATCATTCACAATATATAGGTTAAGAATTACCAGAGGCAGGGCAATCACAAGTTTATGAAAAAAAAAAAAACTTTTTTAAGGGGCTGGGCTGGAGATATAGCTCAGTGACAGAGCATCACTGGGTTTAATCCCTAAAAACACACCCAAAAAAAGAAAAAAGAAACCTAAAATTTTTAAAAGTTGACTTATCTTTATACTCATTATTCTTTTCATGATTCTACAAATACTTTTTAATCTTGAAAGGCACAATTGGATATATAAATAAGACATAAATAAGCACTAGATTTCATCAAATTAGAAGATAGGAGACTTCTGAAGATAGCATATTCTTAGAGCAGAGAGAAGCAGTGAGAAGGATCCTCAGACTGAGCAAAGCCAGCACCAAAGTCCCATCGCTGTTGCCACCTTTTCCAAGAGAAAGGCTGAAGGGATGGAGAGATAAAGCCAAGATAATGGGAAATCCAGAAAAGATCCACAAGGTTGTCTGTTAAACCTGCTCCTCCAAAGCCAGAGACCAAGCCTAAAAATACTCTGCAAAGAAGAGAGAGAAGATGCCCAGATGGAAAAAAGGAAAAGCTGATGCTGGCAAGGTTGGGAACAAGCCTGCAGAAAATGGAGCTGCCAAGCAAACCAGGCACAGAAAGCTGGAGGTGCTGCCATGCCAAGAGAAGGGTGTGCATTGTTCGTAGCTGTGTGTTTCTGGTGACTATGCAGTTTGAAATACAATTTCTTATCAAGGTTTATTTTTAAAAAGCATATTCTTACCTAAATCAATATCTCGAATTCCCATGTACAGTTCAAGAAGATCATCAACCTTTTCGATTGCCTTTGCTTTGGTTTCAGAGGGCTTTATCAAAAACGAGAGAAATAAGACATTATATTTTTATAATGAAATATCTTGATTGTCAAGGGAAAATTTGATGTGAAGGCAACTCATGGTGATGTTCTTCAGCTTATTTTAGTGAAAATATTTCAAGAATGTGCTCTGTAACTAAACATAAATCAACACAGTAAATATTTGCTTTTAGTGTTAGCTTTAAATGTTATGGATTCAAAAAAGAAAAGCTGGGAACACAGTTCCCAAGTAGCTTACTATCTAGATGGGGAGATCAAAGTAAAAATAAATGACTGTGTAACAATTATAAAGGACATAAATGGTACAAAGGCACTATGGAGAGGAAGCAAATTTATCTAAGAGATATGGAAGACTTCAGAAAGAAGGTGACTTCAGAATTATGCTGTCCAAGTTGGACAAGAAGAGGGGCACTTGAAGCAGAAGGCAAAAGATATGCATAGTCTACGTGAGATTGTAGGCTTTGCATACTACAGAACTGTGAGAAGCCCTGTGTCCCTGGAGAACACAACAACAGCATGATTCGACCTTAAGGGGTCCTGTATGCACTAAAAGGACTTTGGTCTTTATTGTCTAAACCAGGGTCTCCAAACTCTTGATGGCTCACCCCAACAGTAAAATACTTCTAAACTTCTACTGTTTTTACTTACTTTTTATTTAATTGTATTGTGCATATTTTTATTAATTACATATACATATTACCATATTAATATATCATACATATTATAAAAACACCAAAAAAGAAAATTTTATAAGAATGAGATACTTATGAGATAATGTTCTTAACATAGTTTGCGTTTTATGAACTAATGACACCGATTTTGTTCTTCCTAAAACTGTTAAAATTTTCAGTAAAAAGCATGATTATTTTAAAAATTCTTTTAAAATATTTGGTAAGTCTTATTTATTACATGTTCAGACTATTCTTGGTTTTCTTCACACCTGAAAAGAAATGGCCCAAAGACATTTAATACTCAACTACAGGTCCAAATGTAGATTTCACCATTAGTCAGATTTTCAGAATTTCATATTATTTTCAATATTGTTATAAGTATTTGTTGCTTTGTATTTTCAAAATTTATTAAAGTCATGTATTTTATAGCAAATAAAAATTTATGTTTATCTCCTTAAGGAGATCAACAGTACAATGTTTTACTTTTTTTTTTTTTTCCTTCTGGCTGTATATGTTAGGTAAGCACTCTAACACTGAGCTACAACCTAGGCCCCATACATTTTTATTTACAAGCACTAAGCTTAAAAACAGTAACAGACCTAATATATTGCTAATGCCTTCATTATAGTGTATTATTTTTTAATTATCTGTGTAAAGCATCGGGATATACAAAGTAACTCAGGCATTAACATTTGTATCTATCTACACAGCCTCACTCTAAGTTGCCATAACAAGTATCAGTACTCTGCCACACACAACAGTTTGCCACTCTAACTCCTGCATAGCTCTTGATCTATCACCTCTTGTCTGGCCACACTGTTTGCCTGAGTCTATTCCTCCTTTTTTCTTATGCACAGAAGCTTCCTTTTACCCCCCTTGCCATCACCCTCTCAAATCCATCCTGCTTAACAATCCATCCCCTCAAACCAAGGGATTTTTCTCTAACACAAAACTGATTGCATTGCTCCCCAGTTCTCATAAGCCCTCTTGCATCCAGACTCCAGCCAATTCCTCCAGCCTCATCACCCTCATTCCCCACCAGGTTCTTCTAGTACCCACACTTCTATCTCAGGAACAGCTTACCAGCTCTCCAAGCCCATCATTGTGTCATGTCTAAGATAGGCTTCTCCCCGTCTTGCATGAACTTCATCATTTTTTTCTTGAAGGAAACTTGCTGATATCCTTTCTTTCCCCAGACCTGACAGCTACTGGTCAGCCCTTTCTTTGTGTCACTGTGTACCTTGTGCAAAGCCCTGTTCAGCTGGTTCATAATGGCTTCTTGTTACGCCACTCTCCCTTAGAGGAAGAGCAAGGCCTTTATCCATCTTTATATCACCATCATCTGGACTGTGCAGACCCAACAATGAATAAAGTATGAGGAATGCAAATAGAATACCACTCAGTGTTCAGAATTTGTGTCAGGTTGTAAGGGGATGATTTGTTTCAAATCCTATAAATCCTTTAAATACTTCAATCCTTGAAACTAGATTACAAGTCATTTGTATCAAATTTAATATTAGCCCCAAAACCGCTTTTTCCTCTCATTATCAGCTATTTTTTAATTGGCCTATTTAATTAAGCAGGCTATGCAAACAGGGATGGAATTTTTGGATGTTTCATTTTAAATAAATCTTTCCTACCTCCTCCGACAGATTTTAAGAATTCTTTTTCATCCTAGCACCTAATACATAGCAGGTGCTTAACAAATATTTATTATGTTAACTATTAGAAGGGACATCCTGCTCTCCCTGTTTCCTTTTCAAGCTGCTTCAAGTCTGCTCATTTTCCCTCACAGCCTCCAGCAGAAAGCAGGGCTGGCCTTCTCCTCACTGCCCACTGCCAGTTCCTTCCCACTGTTCTTCCATTCTCTTAAATGTATTTCTTCCACTCGGGCTTGTTCACTTGTTCAAGAAACAGTAATGGCCTTCGGCAACACACCAAGCAGTATGCTCAGCAATGAACACATAAAGGCTCAAAATGACCAGGTGCTACTGTGTGGGTTTTGTTCACATGCCTCCTCAAATCTCATTTTCAAAATGCTTTTGACTCTACCAGGTCTGTCGGTTGCCATTTACCTCCAGATCAAACCTTTCATTCCCCCAGGACCTAAGTACAGGGTATCTATACATTTCCAAGCAAAACGGGAATCAAATGAACAGAACATACCATTTCTTCCATGGTGGCAGGACCTTTAGATCTCAGACGAAGGGTTCCTCTTGCAGTTCCAATTTTGTCTGCTGAAGACTTTCCAGCTTTTGATCTTGGTTCTATCTCTATAAACATATAATGAGGGGAGAAAGTTTTATGTGTATGTGTGTGTGTGTGCACATTTATGTTCAGAAAGAATTCCAACAGATTGCCGCAAAAGCAAACACAGTTTCCATCACAAAAGTTATTGTAGAGATTTGACAAAAGGTATGCCTTCTTACAGAATTACCTAAAAAAAAATTCATCTGTCATTCATTATTCTCATTATTCTTTTTGTACCTACAAAAAGAGGGAATATGTAAAGTGTACCGATAAGAAAGGATGGAAGGCAGGCACAGTGGTGCATGCCTGTAATGTCAGAAACTCAGGAGCCTGAGGCAGGAGGAGCAAAAGTTCAAAGCCAGCATCAGCAACTTAGCAAGTCCCTGTCTCAAAATAAAAAATAAAAAGGGATAGGGATGTAGTTTAGTGATTAAGCACCCCTGTGTTCAATCACCAGTACCAAAAAGAGAGAGAGAGAGAAAGGAAAAGAAAGAAAGAAAGATTAGAAGTTCTAAGGAAGACAAAGTAGAACAGTTGGCTTTGTTATAAGAGCAAAGAGCTGTGAATAGCCAAAAAGCAGCACTGGACTTCATCCAGGTCGTGAAGATGGGAAAGAACCATGTCTTAACAGAAGAGAGAAACAAAGGCAATATTATTTGTGTACCAAACCTCCACTTGATGCATTATGTACACAATCCTATTTAATATTCATACCACCCTCTCAGGAATACTATCACCCTCATTTTAAAAATGAGGTAACTGAACTCAGTAAGAAGTGTAGCTGGGATTCAAAACCAGGTCTTGTGATTCCAAAGTCAACATGCTTTAATCAACCTCACTCCAGCCAACACAAGGATAAATTTAAAGATAATTCATAGAGAGAGAGAGTCTAAAGAAAAGTAGGCTGGGAGCAGTTCCAAGGGAGGAATTCCCCCACAGACAGCAGGGACCAGAACAGGGAGGAGTAGTCCATGAGAAGCTGCCCTTTTCCTTATGTTTGTTTTGTGTTTTATTTTTGTTTTTGCAATGCACTAAGTCACTCACCCACCCCCAATCCCAAGTGAAAGGAAAGGGTAGGGAGTGAGGATGATTGGAAGAAGTGTGCCATATCCAGAGCACTCCAACACTTCCTGCCCTGCTAAGAATGGAAATGTGGACCCTACTAAGCCAGATTTATTGTTTTGCAGAGAAACTGGATACTCAAGAGTTTGCATGAATTTCCTGATTTTTTCAGATTGGGTAATTAAGTTAAACATTTTAAAATAATGTATTGGCAAAAATAAGAGATCAGATTTCAAACACAGGCCACCAGTTTATAATCTCTGCAGATATTTCCCATGTCCCCAGGGGTGAGGAAGAAGTATGGAGAGGATGCTGCACCCAGAGCTGGAGACTGAGCTCCAGAGACTCACAGGACCAGCTGATAAGTGCAAGCAGGTAACAAGGTCCATGCAAAACTCCCAAGACACAGACCTCAAGTGCCTGCACAAAGGCATTCTTACAAATTTGGAAACTAGAATAAACCCCACTTTTAGCCAAGTACTGCATTGGTATTGGGAATATATCCCAAAGTGATTAAAGATTTTGCATATTAATTTTACATTGCATTTGGGGATAGAGTCACCAAAACATAAGTTTTCCTCTGAGAATGAAAGTATAAAAAAATGATCATGCAATAAGTAGAACAGCTCCCCCTAAGCAAAAAAAAAAAAAAAAAAAAAACCTGTAAATGGTGGCTAAAAAGTTTTGGCTAACACCCAAATGCTAGTCCTGGGGACCAAACAGGTTCTCAGAAAACTAAAGCTTTATCAACAAGCCTCCAGCAGTTGCCTTGCCACTCACCCTATTCCCTGAGGGAAGAAAGGATTCCCAGATGCTCGACAAAGAGCATCCAAAGAAAAAGACTGGGTTGGTCGGTCTGTCATCAGCACCTTCCAGGATTCTGTACCGCCTAGTGACTTAAGTGTTCCCACCCCAGAGTCACACACATCCCTAAAGTGATGAAGATAGTCTCAGTATAACAGCACTAACCATTAAACAAACAGCACATGGGCACACACAGACACACCAGCCCACTGTGATTTCACCAAGCAACCTATTCAGTATAATTGTCTTCCCAAAAAAAATTCCTACAAGGTATAAAATAAACTACTCAGATAACACATGCTTTGGTCAACTGCTACATATATATTTCTAATTGTAAGGCAATTCATTGGCATTATGACTTATCAAAGTGTCTCTTGTAAATTTTGTGAGCATGATGTATTCCTGGAAATTTGAACAACTCTGAATTCATTGGGGTAAAAAAATAAGGTTTCTGATATTTATAAAACTAAGGACTCAGACATAGGACTATAGGGCTTCCCACTTAAGAACTCAGCTGGCCTCCCTAGACAATGTCTCTATCTTTTCTTGCTCTTACTTGCTCTTACCAGTACCCGGAAGGAAAAATGTATGTAAAATACAAGATTTTTTAAAGTAATAAACTATATTTAGAGCAGTTTTATGTTCACAGTAAAATTGAGCATAAAGAATACAAATTTCCTATATATCCCTACCCCCTCACACACGCACAGCCTCCTCCATCATCAGCAACCCCCACCACAGCAGCACATTGTAACCATGGATGAATCTATACTGGTGTGTGTGTGTGTGTGCGTGTGTGTGCTTGTGTGTGCGTCTGTGTATTTTTTACTTTTTTGTAGTGGGAATTGAATTAAACCCAGGGGCACTTTACCACTGAGCTATATCCCTAGCCCTTTTAAATTTTGAGTCAGGGTCTAGCTACTTAACGCTTTGCTAAGTTGCTGAGGCTGACCTTGAACTTATAATCCTCCCACCTCAATCTCCTCAGTCTCTGGGATTACAGGTATGTACCACCACACCCACCTGGTACACCATTTTCACCCAGAGACCATAGCTCACATTAGGGTTCACTCTTGGTATTGTATATCCTATAGATTTGTATATATGTATAATGACATACATCCACCATTGTAGCTTCGAACAGAAGTATCACTTTACCCTAAAAATTCTGCATTCTGTCTATTCATCCCAGATTTTTTTAATCATTATGTATTTACTAAACCATCTTCCTCTTGAAAGTGGCATGCTCACACTAACCACTTGGGGGCACCAAAGCAGAAGCTAAATTTTAAATTCTGGCTTGCACTGGGCTCCAGAAGGACAGTTTTTAACCTCCAAGGAAAGAGCGGCCAGTTTTCTCCATGATCCTGTGGTTCAGGTACATAAGTCGACCTGTTTATACATGAAAACAGAAGGATTCTCTTGTTCACCCGCAAGGGAAAAAAAAAAACAGGTTTTGTGTTCTGGGAATGTTTTAAAAATTCTGAATGTTAATTGTCTGCTCTACTTTAGGGAATGCTGGCCTGCTTAAGCTTGTCTGACTAGCGAAGCTGCACCCTAAATCAGTTACTTCATGTGAATGGGTCTGCATGATGCCTTTCACAGGGCTGACCTAAGAGGGGATGTGGTTTACACCGCAGATACAAATAACCACCCTGCAGATTCACTAAGTTCATTGGTTCTCCCCACTCCACCAGCAAACATAGGGTCCCTGCCAGGCCTGGGTCACTAAGGGCACCGGAACACTCCCAGCTTGTGGATACCTGGCTGCTCCCACAGTTGAACTGCATATCATCAAGAAGCTGTCATATTTGTCCCCACGTTTTCTTGTGGCAATTGTAATTTTTATTCTGATTTAATTTAAAAATGCATGAGCTGATGAAATGAGTGTGAAATGAGGAGTTATTATTGCTCCAAAAACTAGGTTGACTGCTTTGGAATGACTCCATAAGAGTTATTAAAAAAAAAAAAAAAAAAAAGGTGTGGGCAAGACGATTCTAAGAGATTAGTAAAAAAAATCTTTAAACATCCATCATTTCACATGTCTGGTTTTTAAAAATGAAAGGAGCTCACAGATATGCATTAACATTGTGATTATATAAGAAAGACTTCATAGACCTCTAATTTGTGTCCTTTACTCCAAGAAAAAGTCTTCTCCATCAAGAGTGGTTAAAAAAAAAATGTATATTTCTATGCTTTAAATTAAAACATTTATATGTACACATATCATTCTTTATGAGGCTCTATTTTAATTGACATTTTTAATAAACACACAAACTCCCAGTCTCTGCTATATAGCAAGGCTCAGGCATTGGGAGTGAGAAAATGGGGAAGGCAGTAATGTATCTGTGTCTAGTCCCCACCTCACCCCCATAAAAAACTGTACCTATATCTTAGAGAAGGAGGAAGTACAGAGAGAAGTAAAAAGCACTGTTTCAGGAAAAGTGCATGCAACATGGTTTAGATTCTCAATGACAAAGGGTGACACATGGGGGAGGCTGGGCATTCTTCTCCCCACTTCTGCACAGTATGAGGGCCCCAGTTGGCCTGGAGTATGAAGCATTACTGGCAGAGCAGGGACAGTGAACACAACTTTAACAGAAGGTGGGCACAAATGATAGGGCTGTATCCAACATCTCTTGTTGCTCAGTGAACAAGAGATGGCCCAGGGACTAGGGATGTAGCTCAGAGACAGAGTGCTTGGCTAGCATGCACAAGATCCCAATTCAATCCACAGCACCACAGAGGGAAAGAGAGAAAGATGACCCCAAAATGCCCAAAGCAGAGAATGGAATACTTATGATACAGAGGTCAACAGGGGTGCCTAACAGGATTAGACTTCCAGGCACATGTGAAACCCTTGAGAAGATTTAGAAATAGCTATAAAGGGCCACACTGCAATGAACTGGATGTCATGCATGAAAAGAAAGAGGGAGAGAAAAATTAGTGGCATTTTGGTGACAGGAAGCAAATGAATCACCTGCAGTTCAAAATTGTGATAAAACTTGTTCTACTATTTCTCATTAGATTTCAGCTGAAAGTAGAGACACCCCCCCCCCCTTATTTTTCTGACTTTTCAAAAACATTATCTGACCCTTTTAAGACATCTTGCAAGGACTTTATGACTGAGGTCTGATCATCTCTACCTTCACAGTGT